TAGCTGAAAAATATTTGCCACAATGTATACTAAGTTATTTTATAGATTAAAGGTTATGATAACGTTTCTTACAGATGCCATACATCTCTCCTAGTTCAAAGCCACACTTAATTTGATCATATAAGTTTAGTACATACTTCATTGCATCACGCACTGTTTGACTGAGAAGTGGAAGAATTACTTGTACATGTAAGCTGAACCGGATAGTCTCGCTTTCCTAAAAATAGCACTATTTATTAAAGCTATTTTTATTCAAAAATCCAAAAGTCGCTCTTATTTCAGATTCCATATATATTTTGTCTCTTCCTCCCCCCTTCAGATTTTTTGTTTGAGTGTTGGGGTTTTCTTGGTAATATTTCTCTGAGGAATTACAGATAAATAAATAATTTTTAAATAAATCATAATTTCCAGCTGACAGTCAATATGATTGCATAAAAACTGATTTGATTTTGTACTGAAATTTTTCTACTAGGGTTTTGGGTTTTTTGTGGTGCCATTTTCAATTCTTCCTTTTGCTACCATTATCAGAATTGACCAACCAGCAGGAAGTATAGTGACCAAAAGTAGTCAGCAGTTTCAGGTTCAGCCAACATCTAATCATGCTCAAAATACATTTACGAGCACTCTTAAAAGCTACAATCATTACATTATTTTTCCTTCACACTCACCTGTGACTGTTACAATGGTAAGGAAAACAATTGTGGGAAATTTCAGGGTCAAAAAAAGTAATCTAAAACCAAAGATACTGACGAAAAACCACTTCTTACCGCACAGTCCAAAAGTCACTAGTAGTTTCTTAAGTTTCCCCTTTTATCCATAGATTACGCTTCAGAACTTTGCACTTGAAAAAGAACATTATTTCAACACAACGTTCCCACTTTTGGCAGATGTTCTGAAGCATTTTCAGTCAAGTTCACATACACCAAAAGGAATCTGGGAAGACTGACATCTGAATTACACTCATCAAGACTAAAATAGTAAGCCACCGCATGACACGGCACACGGATGCTCTTAACTTCATTGTTACTATCATCTTCACATTTACATGTAAAAATAGCTTGGCAAGGTTATGTCAAGTCTGCAACTTCACCTTTTTAATTGCAAAAGAGTGGAAATCACCCTGAACAAAGGGAGGGGGGAAAAACTGCTAGTGCAAGAAGTTTGCCAGCCCTATGAAAACTAGGTCTTCAAGCCTTAAGGTTTTGAAGTGTGGCACCTTCTTAATATTGAAAAAGTCGATTTACCACACATAAATGCAAATACCGTCTAGTAAGTGTTTGTTATCAACTAAGAGCTCCAAAGTTTTATGCGTGGGAAATTAAACTGTTGGATGTATTTTAAAGAGAAAGAAAAATAGGTCTTCAACACTTTTAAAAACATTCAGCCAAGTAGCTCTAGAGAACATGCAAGAAGGCATTAGATCGCTTCAGTTATTTCAACAGCAACTTAGTTTAATAGCTGATGATCTATTAAAAAAATAATAATAAAAAAGCCGACAATTTAGAGACTTAATCCTGTAGCCAGGACACAGAAAAATTTCCGCATAAGCAATTCAACTTTTAGACCGCTTCACTCACACATCGTTAATCTTCTCTAAAGAAGCATCCCAGTAACCTCTGGCTAAGGAGACAGTCACCTAGTCCCACAGAACTCTTGCGCTGTAACAACTATTGCAGTTGTTTTTCAGCTTAACTAGAACCAAATCTGTCCTCCCAACAAAATTTATGCGAGCACACTAGCTCCCAGTAAATTTAAACAGCAACAGGTTCACCATCAGAACAAGGAATGACGGTGAACTACTCTTCCTCCTTAAAAATAAACCCTATGTACATGAAGATCCACCCTTCTGTCCTTCCCATAGTTGCCTTTCTTTAGGGACGGCTAGAACATAGGCAGTTTAACAGGGTTCTCTTCAGCAAATGCATCTGTTTATGCTTAGATTAGTAATAATCATCTTTTCTGAAAGCTACATCATTGCCAGAGGGGGGAGACTATTACATGCAAGAGCACAATCTTAGAGCAGCAGTTCCTCAACTCCCTCCCCAAAAAAGCATTTCTCAGATACTATTCAACTGCTTTATGGTGGCATGGCTTGCAAGTTCCTCAGTATTTTTATCACATGAGCCTCCAGAGACTACCTCCTCTAACTTGTTCCTCCTTCCTTCAAGAGGGAAAGGACACGGTGTATCCTATAATAAAACATCCTTGCCAACTATTCATTACCGCATTGGGAATACAACGGCAGGATGATGGTTTTCGATGTGCTCTTGCCCAAGTCCCTTTTTTTCCCTCATCTTCCACTGCTGTAAAAATGACACTACACACACTACATTGCACGCAGTAAAAAAAAAAAAAAAAGAAAA